AAATACTTTTTTTAATGAGCCAAAGGGATGGGAAAATGATGGGAGAAATACCAAAAAATGTTCCTTGCAATGAAGCACAAAAAAGTCTATTTTCCTGAACTTTTTTGTCAATTTCATCATGCTATGTCCTCATTTTGAGTCAGTGTCCATACTTCAGGCCTTTTTATGCCTTTTTTTTTAAATAATTGTCCCTAGGTCTAATTGTTTGCATGTTGAGGTGTCTGCAAGTGAGGTTCTCACTGCATATCTTTTAACAAAAAAATTTTAAAATTGAGAAAGAAGCACAGCCATATATGCCTCAAAGGGAGGTAGAAAACAAAATTAAGGATCAAAGAAATTATCCTTCCTTTAAAAAATTAACTTTGTTGTAAAAATATGAATTACATTTTTCCAGCCTGTGAAAAACCTATCCGCTTGAAAAACAACTGATTCAAAAATGCTCACAAACTTTATTTTAAAATATAGTTTTATGCATTTTAAACTCATAAGGCCAAACGTTAAGTGTAAATCTTTTCTGCAACGTGACCCATTCACAGTATTTCATCTCCTTTTTCTTTCAAGAAAAAAAGCTGTCGGAATTCCAAATATTGTAAAATATTTTGACGGTTCTTCTCACAGAATCAAATGTTGAACGGTTATAGAATTTGATTTGCTGATTTAAACTCTCGCAATAACTGAAGTGGAATAAAAATAGAAAAGAAAACGAGAAAATCAATAAACTTCACAGCAGCGAGGATAAGTGAGGCGTTTTCTTCGCGTCGTTTCACGGAATTTTCGAAATCACGCGCATTTTATTACATACTTTTTTCAACGGTATTTTAACCAAGCAGCACTATTTTTTATATATTTTTTTCGGGAGGCGTTGGGGTAGGGGTTGAACCTGAGAGAAGGTTGAGAAGTGCCGGCCAGAATGACGGCGGGGCTGTTGGTGAAATACTGATAATTGTCGCGAGGAGCAACAGACCCGGAATGCGGTGGAGTCGCGGGGAGCAGCAGGAGAGGAGTCCGCTCGTGATGGGAGACTGATGCTCTTGTCCTTGCTCCTCATGCTCTTCTCCTGCTCTTGCTCGTGCTGTTGTTGCTTCGGCGGGGGTGGTGGTGGTGGTGGTGTGCCCATGTCCTGGCGTCATATTGCCACTCCCTCTGTGTGTTTGTGTTTGTGGCACTATATAGATCAGTAATTCCTTGCTTTCTGTGGCCTTTCTTCTTTGATACTGATACAGCTGGTTTCTTCCCTTTTCTTCTTGTCTTCTTCAGCTACTGCTGTGGATAAATTTCTTAGGCAGTTGAGTTTGTGGTGATGGAGGGAACATGTATAGGTGTACAAATTTTTGTCTGGGATATTTTGTCCCAGAAGAGAAATGTACGTATGTACTCTGAGAAATTGCAGAGTTGCCCATTTTAAGAAAAGGGTTTTTCCAAAAGTTGGTTATAAGAAGTTGGTCTGAGGAGACAAAGATCAGATCTACAGAAAAATAATCAGTAGACAAATTGGCAGGCGCGCAACCTGCCAGAATAAGCGCAAACGTGTTTTCCACAATCTTATGCAATTTTTCACAAGACACTCTCAAACACTTTGAATGAATACGCCGGACTTTTCGCGTTGAGTTTGCAATTTCAGATTTTGAGAAAGGACACTGAATAACGGTTCCAAAGCTTTGAAGCAGTCTTCTGCAGCACTCTTGTCGTCGTTCTGATGATGATTCTGCTGTCAAGGTCCGTTTTATGCTTTTTGGGATCCTTTGTTTCAAGCCCGGGGCTTGTCATTGGCAACGTTGGGAACTTCTGCCGGATCCCGGTAAATTCAGCCCAACTAGCTGTTGGGAGGGCTGATTTATTGGGATACGGAAATTCGTAAAAAGTCGGTTTCCCCAAAAATTCGGATTTTCGGGATGAAAAGGTTAGGTCGTAAAAGACTCGTGAGAAAGGAATCTGCTCCTCTCTATAAAATTCGACACGGACCATTTGTGTCCTTGTTTTGAGCTTCTGATGGGGGGAAGGCGCTTGCGCAGCAAGCGTCGAGTTTCGAGTGTTTTAGAGGTAATTGAGTCCCCTCATAAAAGAGGGGAACCCCTGTCGTTTTTCCAGGGTTCTATCTCTTTTTGGCGGCTTAACGGCCGCCAGCCGGTCTGAGCCATATGTCTTTCGGCGCGCCAATATTCATTGGCGCCCCCTTTTAGAAATATAATCCCCGAAGTTTTAAACTTTGGGGATGACCAATAAATTGCGTCAAAAACATGACACAAACCTTGGCTTGGGGGGTAATTTCTCACAATACGGGCTTATGATGGGGTTTCTTCCCTGCACAGGCGGTTTACCATATTTTAATACAGGTGGACTCTCTCTCTCTCCACTACAAAGAAATTCAAGTGTCTCTTTGTTATGCTGCTCCCTGTGTGTGCATGTGTGTGTGTGGCACCAGAACAAGTTTTCGTCCATTTATCTTTCTGTGGTTTTTCTTTTGTGATACAGGTATATTCCCCTTCCTTTCTTGCCTTCTTCACTCTCTGCTGTGGACGAATTTTTTAGTCAGCTGAGTTTAAGCTGAGAGAGGAAGTACAGGTGGACGCTCTGGACAAATCTTCTCCAGTTATAGTGTGAAAATAGAATATTTTTGGAGATCTTGGAGACAGCAGCTCAGAAAAAAGATTCATGTGACAACATTTTTTTTAAGTTTTCACCCAAATGGTTTTTCTGATCATTTGATGACACTTAGGAATGCAACAATGAGAAAAGTTTGATAGAACATAGAACAAACTTCCATTTGTTGTTTTTTTTCATTGCTGTAGCTCAATTTTTAATGGAGATATCCTGATTTGAAAATTGATTCACTTTTTTTTTGGCCATCACCCTGTACATCCATGTAGGTTTCAGAAGGGAAAAATCCTGAGTTTTCTATTTTATCTTGCTTTTTGTTTGAATTCAATTGCCTAATGCATTGGCAAAATTCCAGCAATTTGTTTTGCTGTCAAGCATTTTTTGGCAGTGATTTATAAATTTTTTATTGATTTCTCAAGGGAATTTTCTTGAATATGGGCACCAATTTTTGTTGAATGAATGAATGAACAGAACACTTTATTTGCTGCTTTTCAGCATTCACAACTCACAAGGCACAACCAAGACTCCTGCATCCAAACCCCCTCCCCACCCAACCCAAATCCCCTTGAAGACATTCAATCACTTCAAAGCAGAAAAAAGCACACATTGATGACAAAAATAAAAGAGAACACACTCAACAAAATAAAACTGGACATCTGACATGTATGCATACACCCACCCATTTCCTGACATTGAAAACAAAGTAGCAATTCAGTACTTTTAAAACTTTCTTAAGCTGATTTATATCCATATGAAATGCTGGACATAAGAAGAGAAGGTGCTCTGGTGATGCACAAACTAATGTATTTATGCTGCAGGAGTTACACCACTTAGACACCTTTGAGAGTTGGATGAATTTTTTATACTAAAGTGCCATGAATTTGTCAAAATAGCTACAGCATCATGTATCAAGGGTATGTTAGATGATGCAAATAGTAATGGTATAGCATTGCCACAAGCAACAACAGCTAGTAATTTGCTTGAGTCTACAACATAACAATTATCATGACATAATTGAGTAATTAGGATCTTTTCTCTGCCTTTATTGATGTTACACTTGAGAAACTGGACAAAATCTTCTGCAGATAGTATTGCACTCAATTCTGGGTACATTGCAGACAATTTAATGTAAAATGTCTTAAACCCCATTTTTGATCAAATGGACTATATTGCATTAATGTCCTGAATCAGCACACCAGAGGATGCAGCAGATTCCCAGGAAACCCTAAGAGCCAGATGCTCAGAATAGACTTTAATTTTCTTTGAATTAGGATTATCCTTTTGAAAAAAATTCTAAAACAAGAAATACCTGGAATTTACTGTACTCCATACTCGGAAGTGAGATACCGTTGTTGCCTTTTCCATCCGTCAGTGCTCTTGTGTATATGGATGGATATGGGTTATATGCGACATCTACCAATTTAGAAAGATCTTAGATGGGAAATCATATAAGGCCAACAGTTTATCTTGATCCTTTAAGATTTCAGAAAGTGTCTCTTCATTGAATTTCAGTACTTTTAAATTTTCTTAAGCTGATTTCTATCCATATGGAATGCTGGAACATAAGAAGAGAAGGTGCTCTGGTGATGCACAAACTAATGTATTTATGCTGCAGGAGTAACACCACTTAGACACCTTGGAGAGTTGGATGAATTTTTTACTGAAGTGCCACGAATTTGTTAAAATAGCTACAGCATCATGTATCAAGGGTATGTTAGATGATGCAAATAGTAATGGTATAGCATTGCCACAAGCAAGAACAGCTAGTAATTTGCTTGAGTCTACAACATCACAATTATCATGATAAAATTGAGTAATTACGATCTTTTCTCTGCCTTTATTGATGTTACTTTTGAGAAACTGGACAAAATCTTCTGCAGATAGTATTGCACTCAATTCTGGGTACATTGCAGACAATTCAACTAGAATGTCTCAAACCCCATTTTTGTTCAAATGGACTATATTGCGTTAATGTCCTGAATCAGCACGCCAGAGGTTGCGGCAGATTCCCAGGAAACCCTAAGAGCCAGATGCTCAGAATAGACTTTAATTTTCTTTGAATTAGGATTATCCTTTTGAAAAAATTTCTAAAACAAGAAATACCTGGAATTTACTGTACTCCATACTCGGAAGTGAGATACCGTTGTTGCCTTTTCCATCCGTCAGTGCTCTTGTGTATATGGATGGATATGGGTTATATGCGACATCTACCACGGTTTGCTGGGTTCATCTAGACTTCTAGAGTCTAGGTGGAGCTTGGCGGCTAATTTAATTCGCACATTTGAGCTTTTGGACATGCTGGTGTGACCTTTGATCCGGTAGAATCTACTTTATTTTATGCATTTTGTGGAAAATAAGCCTGAATTGTTTTTTTGTTTTACTTTCCGCCCTGATTTTGCTTGTAAGATGTGTGATATGATCTCAGTCACTTTTAAAGTTTTCTTAATTACTCTCAGTTTCTGTTAGATAAAAGTTAGGCTCTTTTTCCAAACAAGAGTCCATTTATTTAATCCTCCAATCATAAAAAAAAAAATCAGGCACAATTTCAACCCCGTTCATGTTCAGTGGAGATCCAGTAAAAAAAACTTTTCCATGCGCTTTTTCTCAGCAAAGAAAATACAAAGCATGACATTTTATGAACAGGTCAAACAGATTTTTCAAAGAATTTCGGAAGTTACCTTATTCAAACCGCTAAAAAATGGCGTTCGTTTTTTTCTCTCTCTGAATACCTGAGGTTTGGTTTTTCCTTTTCAGGAAGAAGAAAATTGACTAGACCACACTACGGCGTACTTTCCACCAAACTTTTTTTTTCGTTAACCAGGAAATTATTATTTTTGTGCAAGACTGCTTAATTTGAAGCGTTTATGTAATAGTTAATAATCGCACAGCAACATGAGTTGAAAAAATTCAGCAGACTTTGGCCAAGAAAAAAAAAACTTCCTCATTCCTCTCGCAATTTCTCTCCTACTCTCAAAAATAAAAAAGCATTTTTCAAATATTAACCAACGACCTATTGCTGGTTTATTCTTATTTTTTCAACTTGATTCAATCCCATTTTGTTCCCACAGCAACCAGTTGATTTGTTCATGTTGAGCCATGCCCTGTTTGTTCTTTGAGCCACTGGGTCAAAGTGGCCTCATGTTTAGCCATCCATTGGGCATTGATCTCGATGCTTTCGATGGCTTGGTCCACTGCCCGAGCTCCTGACCCCAGGTCATTTTTGTATTCCTCTTTGAATGCCCGCATCTGCATTGTAAAATAAAATTTAAAATTTGGATGCGTGGGAATTCACAGCAGAGTAAAATCAAGAGCAAAGAAATAATTATGTGCAGTAATAATCTCAATACAGTTGAATCTGACTGTTTGATGAACAAGTGTCACACATGACACAATTATTATGTTCCAAATGTATCATGTTCCAAATTTTTCAGGATTAATTGTACAGTACAGTAAGTCACTTTAGTATGTACTCACTCTGGCTGCTTCAGCTGGCGTATTGAAGGTAGAAAATGGGGTAATGAAGCTGCCCATGGCTGAAATTCCGACGCTGAAACTGGGGGGTACAATTAAGAGGCAAATAAATATTTTTCTTATAATTCTGAACATGCACACCGAGTTGGATTACCAAGACTTACTTTTCCTTCAGGTAGACAAAGTTGTTGAGCAAATATTCGAAAGCCAGGGACCTTCCAATGACTGATCGGGCGATGCTTCCGAACACTCTGGCAACGTCTTGGGATCTCACCGTCGAATTCTTGTTGAATGTCATCCCCAAAAACCTTTAAATAATTTAAAGATTTTAAACCATTCAGAAAACTGAGGGTGCGTTTCTTTAAAAAAATATTTCACGTCATTTTCAATATATGATATTTAAAAAAAAATTATTTTTTACTAGAAGCAGTGCGAGTTGTGTAGATTACTAGAGAATTGTAGTCTGCGGTAATTATCCTGAGTTTGAAAATGAAAGTTACGTAAAATTCAATTTCTAAAGTTCTGAAAATAGTTTTTGATCTTTTTGATTTTTATCCAAGTGGAATGAAGAGCAGATCCTTGTAGACAGAGATGGAATGGAAGCGTATACGGGATCCACCACTTTTGCTCAGAAATCTAAAACAAATTGAATTATTCAACCAGTTCAGCCCCTTTTTTGTACCTGCTGAAATATTGCAATTTTTATGGTTTATTGCACGCGTCAAATTCATGCAGAATGATGCAAATTTTCTGATGGATTAAATATGTTTAACCTTTTGTACAATTTCCTGCAACCTTTGATTGTTCAATATTTTTTCCACCTGATTTTTGGTATTGGCTGTAATTGGAGCATAGGGTCATAGTCAAATTTTTGTATGATACTTTGCAGTCATCCCTGATTCCAGGAATCAGAAGGAAATTGAAAAAATAAAAAAAAGATGGCAAGCACGAATAGCTGTGCAATTTCTGGAACTCTCAGGATGCAATAATTATAATTAATGAAGGATTCAAATCAATGTAAAACTGTGTATTGCTGTGGTTGTAATTGCATAAGTTTCATCTGATCCCTTTTCATGTCATAAATGAACAACCCTTTTGTGTAACTCTTTGTTTTGCCCAGGATGCTAATATTACATACCTTTGGTTTCAAAATATAAAATATTATTAAAATAAACTTTGCCTGTCTAGATAATCTTAAATGATGTGTTGGTGATACTGGCATATTCATAACAATCCTTGTGTCATGTGATGATGCACATTTATGTCAGATAAATATTCCATTTTCATGAAATAGAATTGGCAATAATGAAGGGTTGTATGAGATATTAGTGTATATCCAGAGCATTTTAATCTGTTCAGATGTTTCAAGATCTCCAACTCAGAGATCGACTAGCCTTTGGTTTGCTTTACACAGCCTTTGTACAGGAGATCCTCCTCCACTACAAATTGTATGATGATCTGTGCTCTAAATTTGGAAATCTGGGTGTTTTACATTAAGAATAATTATTACTAACTTGCTGAGAAGCCAAACTTCCTCAGTACAAGCCATGGCATACAACATTTCGGTCTTCTCACTAGCCAAATTGGTCTTGGTGTAGTGCCTCCAGGCATGGTTCCATTCCTCCTCTCCTCCATTGGCCACACCATAGCAGTACACAATGTACTTCACATTAGGGCTTATGCTAGAAGAGAACAAAATACAGTATTGATCAATAATGTACTCCCTGTGCTCGTTTTTGCTCTGTATAGTTGGTATACAGTCACATACTGAAGCACATTAAAAAAAACAGGAAGTTGAGGTACCAAATAAGCAGTACTTTCTGGATGATGGATGTTTCAGCAAAATTCAAGTTGAGAATCAGCAGCAGTTGCACCAAAATGTGGATGCCCCAGCATTTGGACAATGTCCCAAAATATGGATATTTTACAAAATTTGCAGAAAATATTTACACAGTGAGACCCCCACAAGCAGTCACCTCAACATGCAGATGATTTGAGATGGGGAGATTTATTTTCTGAAAAAGGTATAAAAAGGCCTGACATGTGGATACCAACTTGACATGCAGACATTGCATGATAAAATCACAAATAAATTTCAGGAAAAGTTACTTTCATCAGGGTGAATTGTAAGAACCATATTTTTTTAACCCTAAGATCCATGCAAGACAAGTTCTTTGATATTTTTTCCATCCATTCAGCTAATTAAAAAAAGTTCCTTCAGCATAGACGGGCTTCCTTCCCTCTTTGTGACTTGAATGTCATTTTTACAGTTGTTCCCAACATTTCAAGGTACTGTACAGAGGTACAGTATTCAATGCTCCAAATGTTATTATTGAGTTGAAATATATTGAATGAATCCAATTAAATTAGCCAACAATTTTTTTTCATGGAATCCTGATGAATATTTCTTACATAAAACACCAATAAAAAAATATATATATTGTAAGTCTATGGGAAATCAAGACTCAACTTAGGGACACTCCTGATGCACCAATTACATCTGCATCTTGGGGTCTCACTTTCAAAATTGTGATATTTTTTAAATTGACCTATTTATGTTGGCAGAAAATTGAAATGAATCTGCTTATATAGATTTACTGTAATTTTTTCAAGAGACTAATGTTGATAAAATATTTTCAGAGTGTTTCATCAACTATGTGACTGTTGGCAATATGCATGCTTTTTTGTCTTTTAAACTCCCATAAACTTATGTTTAAAATTGTTAATTCTGATGAAGTTGGAAAATGAATGTGCACTTTGGAAAAGGAAAGTGAATCATACATGGTATTATCAGGTAAGGCTTCATTGTAGTTGGTCATCCACTTTTTGTATTGAGCACTGGCATCCCTTTTGCACTTGCCAACATTGTATTTGCATGCTCTCCCTTGAATGAGAACATTCTTGTACAGCTGTGTTGCATCATCAATGTACTCTGGCTTGATGTCTTCCAACTTTTCAAATTCCACAAGTCCCCCATTCAGCAATGTCTTCATGTACTCCTAGATTGCAAATACATTTTTGTAAAAATGAAATTTTCAAAAGCATCCAAGAACACAGAGAAACTCATTTTTTAAAAAGAAAGAATGTTATCTTGCACTGTTTTTTTCATTTGAGAATAAATAATTGCCTCAAGATTATGCCTCATTTTTTATCCTCACTCCGTGCAAATCCTTAATTGAATGTTGAATGAATTGCCTCCTGTAGTCCTCATCCATGTGAAAGAACCAATTTGGGATATTAATTTTTATTTCATTATATAGTTCTGTCTGCAAAGAATAATACCTTAGTTTTATTTTTTCAGATTTTATATTTGTTAGCTGATTTCTGAAAGACACTAAACTTGTTTAGCCTGTACATATTTTCAAAAAAGAAACTAAGTCCTTGCTGAAGATGTGAGTAAGGCAAATATTATCCTGGATATTGTATATTTCTGCTGAAAATGCCGTATGAAACCCCAAGCCTATGCTGATTATTTAAAATTTTGCACAACTTCATCATCTCTCAATTTTGATAAGATTCAATTAAGCATTAGTGAACTTTACTGGAAGGAGCAAAAATACACATGAATGAAGTTGTGATATTGCACAATTAAACTCATCCCACATTCTTGTTTGAAAAAGGAAATCTTCACAAAATCAATCAGACAATACATACTGTTAACCTGGAAACATTTACACTTGCTGCAATAGTTTCTCCCCTCAGCTGAATTGCCCTTTTCTTCCTCTTCAAGGAAAATATGTTGATTTTCTCCTGGAGCTGTTCCTTCTTTTGTTTATCTCTGTGGAAGTCACCCACACAAATGCATGATGCTTTTATTTGAATAAAGCATGTATTTTTCTTTTACTACTGACAAATGTCACATGCCACTATTTCTTCATTATTATAGGATCCAAGAGAAAATGTCTCTTGGATGAATATAATGTGTATAGAAATGCTCATGAAGCATTTCTGAATACTGCATATTAACCAATGTATTCATGAAGCTTGGGATTCATGAATTGAAAAGGTAAAAAGAATCTCAGTTGCCCTTGATTCCTTCAATACTTTTGTCTTCTTCTCTGAGCACTCCTCATAATTAATACAGCCCTAATGCAGTTATTTCTCAGGAAGCCTAACTTGTTGCTAATTTAACAAGACTTCCTTTTACCAAAATCATCTTGAGTTTTATAGTTGTTCAAGAAATTACCCAAAATATACTATTCTATATTGTTTTTTACCACACATATATTCTTATTGGACAACAATATATACAGTGATTTTATTGGATACTAACCCTGAAATATCCATAGCCAGCACTGCGTTCCAACATTTTGTCAATATAGGCCAGAGCATTGGCAGTTGCCCTCCATGGAATGAACTCTTGTTCTTTGGCAAGATATTTTGTTAGTCCCAGGGCAGTTGGATAGCTGATGATCCCAGCTCTGGCCAAGTTGAAAGCATCATCCAGGATCTGGGCCCTGTTTTCAGTTGAAATCTTTGTGTGATCTGCTTCCAACTGAGCTTGAATCATGGCCCAGTTTGTGGCATCATAATTCACGCGGTAATATCCAGTTTCTTGAGCATTCACAATCACCTGGAAAGAATGGGATTCACAACTTCAGATCATTGGACAAATGCAGTACAAAAATTACAGTTCAGTAGAAGTTGGAAATAAGAAGGGACAAGTGCTTGAAAGTACAGATCCTAAAATTTGTTCAACTTTTTTTAAAGATCACACTGTATAAGAACCTTTGCAGATTTTGGGAAATGTCAAAAATGTGAATGCATCAAAACAGTGGCACTAGAGTGAAAATCGTTTCTGCTTTGAATTGATTGATTCCTTTCGTTTCTCTCATGATTAACTCAGTGATGCCACTCATAACCAGCTTCAGTAAAATAATGCTGGCTTGTCAATAAATAAAGAAAACAGTAATTATTCAAGCTGTATGAGATCATATGTATGAGGGTTGTCCCACTTCTGACCAACTTTGGGTATTTCTAGACTAGGTACCACTTTGAAAAAAATATACCATTTAGCACATTCTATTGTAAGGTTCTGGGATTTTTTCAAATTTTTTGAAACTTTTTAGATGTCCTGCAAGACAATAAGTAAAAACTGTTCAGTTTCTGCAAGGGTTTTACATCCACGTCACAAGCTGTTGAAAATGTTTCATGCTACACAAAAACACTTTAATTTTTTATTGTTCATAGAACAATATTTTCTAAATTTTTCTGCAATTTTCAAAAATTTTCAATAATTATTTTGTTTGCCCATTTTGCATTTTTCCAAGAGCAAATTTTCATTTCTGGTTTTTTTCTCTTTAAAAAAATCATCCAAAGTCTTGTTTCTGCTTTTGATGCGTTTCTTATTTCCTTGAGATTTTAGGAGGCTACTGTTCTTTTTTTTTTCTTCATTTTCTGCCTCAAGGTCTGAAGGCAGGATAACAGGACACTAGTCTAAGCAGTGTTACATGCTGTCCATCTTTTTTTGCTGGAGTTTTCTCCCTGTTGCACAGGGTTCATCCCTGATTTCCAAAGATTCCTATATTTTTTATTCCAGGAAAAAAGTGCTTCAGTTCTCAACTTTGAATCATTGTTCACTTCAAAATTTTTTGAAATTTCAAAAGTACTGTTGCATTCATATATAACTTCCTGTGTGAAGAAGAACCACAAAACTTGAAATGCATCAGTACTTTTGAAATTTCACAATATTTTTTGAAGTGAACAATGATTCAAAGTTGAGAACTGAAGCACTAAGAGTACTTTTGAAATTTCAAAAAAAAATTGAAGTGGACAATGATTCAAAATTTAGAACTGATGCGCTTTTTTCCTAGAATAAAAATAATAGAAATCATTGGGAATCAGTATAAAACTTTGTCAAAATTCTTGATGAAAGTTATTTTATTTAAATGCAATCTAACCCAGTTATTTTTGGCAGGATCAGGGATCCATGAATCCAGACTGGATGAGGCCAGGTCCTTGTCAGTGAGTGTAAGAGGAGTATTTGGTCTGAGCCAGTGACTGGCGCTGGTTCTGTTGAAGTCGTCAATGGCAGCGTTGAAGTTGATGGGGATGAACCATTGCTCTGAACTCTGGTCCCTGGAGCTTTGTTGCAAAAAGAACCGAGCCTGAAAATTTTGAAAAAATATAAAATATATGTATTCAGGATTGCACAGTTTTCTGAAACAACATGATTTTTAAAATATCCCTCTACAGAAAATATTTAAAAAACTATTTTTTGCTGTTCCTTTAATATCCATTTCATCCATGCCTTGCAAAATATTTTCCCTCCAGTTTCTCTATTTTTACCATTTTTGAGCTACACAAAGTTTAAAAAAAAAATCGACTCAAGAGTAAGTAATTTAAAGGTTCAAACAATGAATTGGACGCATTCTTTCAGATGCGAAAGCATTTCATGTAATACATTGCTCTTAGAGAAAATTTTCTTCATCAGTTCCTGGATTCACCATTTCTTCTTGATAAGTGTTGAACATCTCCAAGTCAAAATTCAAGGCACCAGCAAAATAATTTGACTTGAGGAGGTTTTGAATTATAGAGGTTTGAGCTACAACACAATAAAGCAATTTTTCTGGGAAACATATAGAAGAATTACCCAAAATTGTAAACGGTGATATTCTGGGGCTTAAATTGCTTCTTAAATGAGTTTACTGCATGTTGAACTTGGAGACAGGGGTTCATTATTGCCCAATTAAGTCTTTCACTTCCTTTCCATCAAACACATCAATTTACTTTTTTATTGCTTTTTTATGTCTGGTGTAAAGAAAATAATAGCCTATACAGACTACAGAAACTATTTGAATGATGGAAAGGTTTGAGGGGAAAAGCTTTCAACTTATAGGGAGGTTTTTAAGGCATTGTTTCTAAGGGGATTCAGACAGCTATCTGAAAAAATTTGACTTTGGGGGGTGGGGGGTGGGTTTGAGTTATGGAGGTATTTAAATTTGGGTGAAAAATTCTCTTACATAATTTTTGCAACAAAAAAAAAATCACAGCAAAAAACAATAAATGAGTAATAATCAATTGCCTCACTAAATATACCTGGGTAAGAGTCGCAGTGTTCTGCTTGGGGTCTCTGGTCAGGGTCACAACCGGGAACCCAGTGAGTCCCGTCCACGTGTTCATGATTTGACTGACTGAAAGATCATCAGGCAGACTCTTGTCATCATGAGCAGCCACGTCCAAATACCTCCACAAATCCTCCGTTTCCGCATTGGAAAAGCTCTTGTCTTTCAGATACGAAATCAAGCCCTTCTTGAAAGTTGCCTCGGTCAGGTAATTGTTCATCATCCGAATGATGGTGGCACCTTTATAAAAATGCAAAAAAAGAAAAGAAAGTCAAACGGAACTCTTTAAAGCTTTCGTTTTATCCTAATTTTTATTTCGATGGAAAATGAAACAGCACAAACCTTGCGGAAATTCTGTTCATATACGATTAAAAAAAATAGTTGAATTAGCATGCACAATTTTATTTATTCAGTATTTTTTTTTTCAAATTTTTCGTCATATATGATAGCTTAAAAAAATGATTGATCACCGGCACTTCATTTAGATTCAACTCACACTTGATGAAGGGAAGATTATTGTTCGAAGGAGGATGAATCGATTGAAAATGAAACAGCACGAACCTTGCGGAAATGCTGTTCATATACGATTTTAAAAAATAGTTGAATTTGCATGCACAATTTTATTTATTCAGTATTATTTTTTTCACATTTTTCGTCATATATGATAGCTTTAAAAATGATTGATCACCGGTACTTGATTTACATTCAACTCACACTTGATGAAGGGAAAATTATTGTTCGAAGGAAGATGAATCGATTCCGAAAGAAATCTGGATTAGTTTATCTTCCTTATTTAAACGATCATTTTTTTCATTCATCTAACGCATGAACTGAATCGAAATGAAGTCCCTGTGATCAATCATTTTTCCATGCTATCCTTTTTCTCTCTCTTTATTTTTTTCTCAGAAATAATCTGTAGGAAATAAAAGACACGTTTCTTCTCACCTTTGCCGTAAGATATACGATCGAAAAGTTCCTTGATTTGATCTGGGTTGAAGACTTCTTGGTAAATTGGGTGAGAACTTTCCAAAGAATCCACCCTCATCACGTCTTGGACTTCGGACACGATGAACAGCTGCATCCATTTCCAATCCTTTCTTGACTGAAACATGTAAAAAAAAAAAAAAAAAAAACTCGTAAAACAACTTGCACGATGGTTTGAAAGCCTGCATGAAATTGAATATTAAAAAAACAGCGAAATGTAAGCAACTTTAAAAAAACGTATTTTTGGCTCCTAAATATGTCAGATCAAGTATTAAAATTCGATTCCCTCGCAATTTACATTGGAATCAATTGTCTCGGAAAACATATTTTTAAATTGGGCAAAAACGTGAAATTTCTATTAATTTTGACCATATTTCTCTGGCTGCAACCATCGCAGTCTGATTTTGCTGTTCTCATTAAAAATTGATTCCTTCAGTCAGCTAAATTCATAGCCTTAAAATTTACAATGATTATGTACAGTAATTTGTTAAATCTATTCATTTTTGAATAATTTTAAAGTGAGACCATCATATAAACAAATTTTCCAATGCTTGAAAGTAAGATTAAAATTGACTTGAACCTGGAAAGAGTATCTTGCAAACTTTTTTCTTGAAAATACAGTAATTTTGAAGAAACGTCGGTTCCTTCCTTCGTTCATTTATTCCAGCACAACATCAGGATTTCTCTAAAAGGGGAAAATATTCTGAATCCGTATTCAAATGAGAGTTTAAAACGTGAAGATGATTTTTTTTATTACAAAATACTGTACTCGAAAAAAGAAGCTTAGGCTACAGTAGAAACTTATTGTTACAAAAAAATCTCGTAATTATGAATAATTGATTGCAAATTTGTTTCCCGCTGCCCAAGAGCCTCAATGTTCAAACAATTCCGTTATAGCAAAGCTAATGGCTTCGTTGTAACCAGATTTTACCATATTAATTGGGAAGTTGAAGTTGTTTAAACGCACTTCAACTTGATTTCTATAAAGCTTTGTTCTTAACAGGATACATTTGCCCAACTGAAGAAAATTAAAATTCTTTAATAGCAGAGGAATTTTTGTAGCAAAATCTCCACCGTATTCATATTCAATAGTTTTTTGGTTCTTTACCTCTTGTGAACCAAGATATTCTACGTAAGAAGCGAAGCCTTCATTCAGCCAAAGGTCTGTCCACCACTTGGGTGTGACAAGGTTGCCAAACCACTGGTGAGAAAGCTCATGAGCAATGATGTAGATGATCCTTTGTAGCAATGAAGCTGATGTTGTTCTCCCAGTTGGATCATACAAAAGGTACTCCTCTCTGTGAAAAAAAAGAATGAAGTATTTTTAAATAGATTAACTTTTAAAACAAGATTTTAAAGTATGAAATATTTTGGAATAAGATCCCTCAGTTTGACCCTGTCCTATAATATGCAGCTGGATCAAAGGATCAACCAGTAAACTAATCATGGATACCTTTGTTTTGTCACTAGAAGGAAAATAAATTGACCCTGAAATGTGGTACCCATGAAACATTTAGATTTGTTTCAAGAACCTCTCTTTTCCAAATGCTCTTTTCTCTACTCCAATAGGAGGCATACTGTTTATTCCTGTAGCTGTTTTCTTGTTTTGAATTTCCTCTTCTCACATCACCCCTTGTTAGCAGCGTTGACGCATTTCTCTTTTTAAAGTACATATACATTCCTTATTTCACTGCTAATGGTGATGAATCCTGTTTAGACTTATTTGGGTGTGTTTTAATTTATTCAGTATGGACAATAAATGAAAATCAACATCATGACATGCATGAATAAAATATGACTAATGACATAATTATTGCTTGATAATTATTACCAGCAAAAACTCTTGATTTGAATGAGAAGAATGCTCTTGTTCTTGGAAGTCTTGCCAAATAATGAAACAGAAGCAATATGATATGAGTCTTGATAATAATTGTTGAGTAACAATCTTATTTTCATTCCATTTTACATAATCCTCTAAAAATATACATAATCCTCTAACTGAAAATTGCCTGTTTTTGCAAAATACAGGTGTTTTTAAATTTCTCATTGAAGGTTACACTTTCAGAGGAAAGTGGGAAATGAATTTGAGACATGTGACACAAAAACAGCTGCAGCATTGTCATTATTTTTTAGATTACTGCAAAGTTTTCTTGCAGGGATATTCCGTCTTTTTTCCTCTAAAAAATATTCTACACTTATGTTTCATAAAATCAGCAAGAATTCTTCAGACGTGAATTACTTCTTTCCGAAATTTTGTAGAAGAATTGTTATGCAGTCAATTCCCATGTAACTTACTGTAATTAATTTGTTGTGCTATGGATAAGCTACAATTTGCTTTTCCTAAAGGTTTGCATGTTAACCTTTTTTATTTCGACTAAAGTATGTTAGACGGATTCAGTACCTTAGACTGGATGAAAAACCACCTCCAGAGGCGGTACGTTATATGAAAATCTGCTAGCCGGGAGGTACGTTAAATGGGGGTTGACTGCAGATGTTTCATAATTTTTGAAGACGTTTTCATTCACTGGTGCTTGCCCTTGAGAGCTTGATGTCAAAGTCATCATTGTGACATTGCACTAGTGGAAAGAACATTCCTTGTTTCAGAAAATATTGCCTCGTCATGGCATTTGGCAAGAATGTTATCTGCATGATTCCTCATGAAGTGTGTTAGTGTGTGTCAAACTCATTTCCATTGATTTAGAATTTATATAGAATTCAGAAAATCTTTTTTCAAAGCTCATTTAAGAATTATAATTCAGGTTTTTGTGCAAAAAATTCCACTATAGACAGGACATGTATATACGTATGTATTTACGCGACAAATTTATGTTTCTAATTTCAGCTCACATTTAATTTTTCCTGCTCAAGATGAATGGTTTTGACTCTTGAGCCAAATCTGGGCCTATTTTTATTACAGTACAGTACTTATTTTCTCAGTAATTTTGCAAAAAAACCTTATTCTCACACACTTTCATTATGCATATTGACAATCAAGGTTCTTATTTTTCAATTTTTAGTTCAGATGAACCTTTCCGGATCACATTCAAAGGGAACTCGGAAGAATTAAATTTTAAAAATTTTGATATGCGGTATATGACGTGATTTGTGAAAGTTAATTCAGAAAGGTTGATGAGCTAAATTATTGAATTATTTTACGCAGTTTGTACATTTATTAAATCAAACTGCTTTTGTGAAATTTTCCAATCCCTTTTGAAAAGCGTACAGATGATTTGGATAGATTTTCATGCATTTTTTAGAATAGATTTATCGATGATTTGTAGGTTCTTTGGAACAAGTGTTTTAATATTTTGCAACTTTAAAAAATGCAAAGGTGTAATTGGACTAACATGATTTTGAGACTGAGCGTTTTGAGTTTGGGAAGTTTAAAATGCATTATTTCAAGGGGATTTCCCTGGCATTCAGTGAAAATTCCATTCATGTGATTTTTTTTTTATTATGGAGGTTTGACTGATAAATAGGTCCAACTATAATTCGGAGAAATTTGTGCATCAAAATCTTGAAGATGTATATGATTTACCTGTAGGTGATCATGCCCCAGTTTTCCATGGCACCAGCTGAAAAATCCGTCAACGCCAGCATGTCCATCTTTGGCAGCGGGTAATCGATTTCGAAATATTCCTCGAAGAATTTCAAAATTTTGGCGCCTTCGTTTGCAGCGAACTCGGTCCTGCCAATCATGTCGGACCTTGCCCAGACCTGAGAAAATTGCAGACACGCGTTTTCAAAAAATTTTTAGATTTTCACAAATAAACCTCGAAAGACATTAGCAGACAAGATTTGTGCTAGAAATGCGAAACATTTTTTTTTTCATTTAAGTGTGAAATTCCGACAATCAGCCTTCGAAGTTGAGAATTTATGCTTCACAACTTATTATTTATTTCATACAAAACTCTTGTTGCAGACGGATTTTGCATGATTCATAAATTGTACTTAAATTCAATGCCAACAGTGTTGCACGACATAATACAAATCTTCATGCAGTACTGCTAGTTTTTGTTTGTTTCTTTACTATCTCTCTGATTCCTGGTGCAAAATTGACTAGAAACTACATTAAATGCATATTTGGCACATGATTTCTCACTCAGTAATAATTAAGATTAAAAAAAAACCATGCAACAGCAACCAAAAATTAGCGACCGTTACAGAAAAATTTGCATAATTAAATTCAGTTTTCATGGCGTTGTTTCAACAAATTTTGTTTTGTGCACTAAATTGAATCTGTTTCCAAACACTGCGTCATGGTTTAATTTTTAATTTTCGTTACTTGTGAATAAAAATTTCTGAAACACAGAAATAAATCTTGCATTAGGCCTCAAGCTGGCTCATTTTTTGTTTTTGCTGTTTTCAAGTTTTGAGGTCTCTGTAAAATTCAATTTTTGCCTTTCAATTGATTCAATTATGAAACTCTTGATGTAATCAACTCTTTATTCAGGTATCTATTGATTGATAAAATTGGCAAATGGGAATGTATTTAAAATCGTGCGCAAAATATACAACAGTGTGATTGTCAACAGAATTATTTTTTTAAGCTTGCAGCCTTTCATGACAGTGAATTACGGAATTTTAGTCTGATTATCCAATTTAAATTCAATGTACTGCATCAATTTTTTTAGAAATTTCTAAACGATGTTTCCAGCTGCGTCCCATGAGTTGACTGCCATGTTTCGTAATTTTGATCCAGCGTCGTTCGTTTTTGTGAAACGTCTATGACACAATTTTTGTTTGTAATCATCATCCAGAAAAAAATGAGAACAAATTTATAGTCTATTGAAAATCAAAGCGATTAAATTCGGTGGAGTGGGGGGGAGGGGGGATCGGAAATTTATCAAGGAAATGCTTTAATGAGTGGAGGGAAAAAATATACCGCTGTTCCTATAAGCCCGATTCCCGTGGGATACTCGATTTCATAATAAAAAAAATTGAATCTCCAACATGGTTTCACACAATATCGGTTCTGAATTTATAGTCACGTGTGAAAAAAAAATATATAGATTCGCTCGTTCACCGATAAGAGAGGCTTGATTGCGCATTTAAAAGAAAACGGCAAGAATTTCTGCTGATTTTCAAAAAATAACCTCGGGATCGCAATCAATCGTGATCGAGCAAATCGAATCTCGGATAAGAAACGTGCTTTGGACTATAGATTTTCATTTTGCTTGTCAAGAAAGAAAATGGAAAATTGTGATGTCATGTGGGTGGGATCGAATCGACTATTTTCAACCTGGATTGCCCTAACTTTTTTGGGGGGGGGGGAGGGGGGGATGATATTTCGGAAATTTTATCAGCACATCAGGTTGATTTCACGCGTTCTTCACGTGGAAGAACCAAATTATTCTGCTGTAATTGAAAGAATGAATCCCGTTTACTGCATCCCAATTTGTCAGCATTATTCAAGTACTGTATCAGCAAGATTATATCTTATTCTTTCGAGATATCGGAAAATTACAGGTTAATTTTTCGACGAAATTTAAGTGACTAGACACGTTTGATTGATTTTTATGATCGTAATTTTCATGTTCATAAAATTCCTCAATTATTTATAATCTTATTCTTATTCGGCAGAAATGACGCTTCTTATCTAAGCTGAATTGAATTTTTAAAACTCGTGATATTCTTTGTATAAAGCGAGTTTAATTATACGAAAATTTGTTTGAAGATTAATATTTTATCAATAAAATTTGCGTCGTCCGAGTAATTTGTTACGCAGGGACCCGCTGTAATTTCAAGTTTAAAATTTCATTCATTGTTTCTGAAAGCATAATTGATAAATAAAAAAATAAAAAGTATGTTCACCTTGAATTTGTCGTTGGTGTTGCTCGTCTTGCTCTGAAACTGAGACACGCAAAAGGCGACCAAGTATGTGGACATGTCGACACTGACTGCATATTTGTCCCATACGTATCCATCCAAAGTTTCACTGAAAGTAAAGGAAAAAAAGAGGATGTCAACATTTTTTTTTCATTGATCAAGTGTCTCAACTTCATAAAAAGTGGGTCTCCGCAACAACAACAAAATTACTTGCAGAACGGGTCTTGTAATACAGGAGATGCATTTTGATGCACAAAACACGATTGTTTTCGAATTTCAATTACGATTTTCAACCCATTCAAGTCACATATTGTTTTCAAAAAGTGAAATAAAATGTAGCTAGACTCTTATTGCTTGTAGAAAACCAAAGCAGAGCTTTTCCAAAAAGAGAACACAACTCTGAGACTACTTTGTTGTGGTGAACAATTTGAAAATTTTATTCCTGCAAAAAATTTCCTTTCCCATACAAGGTACTGTATATACCTTTATATTGTGATTCATTCCAAAGATATTCTTTTCAAAAAGTTGGAAATCAAATTTATAAAGCTCCCCTTTTAGCTTATGAAGAAAACCAGAACTGGACTCATCCAGCAATACATGGACCAAACGTCTGATTTGCGATGAATTATTTTCAAAATTGTGATGTGTGGATTGTAAAACATTGTTTTCGCTGGTTTTTCTTTGGAATTTTTGAAATCCATTCTATACATGTTGCTTTGAAGTTGGAATCAAATTTAAAGATTTGCTCTCAAATTAAAAAAAAAACCAGGAAAGGGCTCTAACAAAGGACTGAGAACATATGGTATTACAAAATTGTAAAAGAATTTTTAAAACATTTCGTGGTGCAAAACATAATTTCCCTCAAGTTATACTGTAATTCAAAATGCTTAAATTCCTTCGATATGAAGTGTTTAGAATTTTGTTTTTAGTTAAAATAGAGTTCAAATGTCAATGGAGAAAACCAGAAGAAGGCATTTACAAAGGACTATGAATGCGGAGACTGTACAATTTTAACAGAACATTTGAAACATTTTGCAGTGCAAAATATAATTTCCCTCAAGTTATACATTTAAAATTGTTCAATTCCTTCAGCATGAATTGTCTAAACTTTTTTTTTTCAAATAAATGTCAGAGTTCAAATCTTACCTTAAAGAAAAGCCAGAGCATATCTTTTTCAACTGACAGAACATCTAAATTCCCGAAAAATTGTATAAAAATGCAAAAAAGCATCTGAGCAAACCAACTCACTGAGGGACACCTTCTGCAATCGCATCCATGTTTGACAGGGTTGTCCAATCGTCTGTGTTCTTCCGTCCCAGTGTCACATTGAACTTGGCCTTGACGCCGGGTTCATCAAAGCAAGGGAAGGCTCTGCGTGCGTCAGTCGCCTGGAACTGTGTGACACCCATGTACCTATAAAAAAAAGAGAAATAAATATAAATGAAAATCAAGTTTAATTTTCCGAAAAAACGACAATAAAGCACGATTTGGGAGAATGGAATACAATGAAGGGTTTGTTGGGGACTGAAGGGGCACACATATGAAATAATGAATAAATCATTCTCCCAGCAACCAGTTCTCCAGTAAAACCGGTCCTGGGGCTTGTAGAGAGCCCATAACCAAAGAACTTGCCCCCAAGAACCTTCAAAACTTGTATGAAAATCCTGCACATTGTTGTTGATTTTTTTTTTTACATAAACGGCCAATCAGAGAGTAACAAAGAATCCCAACCCCCAGCACCAAGAACAAGTTTAACACAACCCTTCCTCAGTAATGCTTAAAAGCCTTAAAAACCTGAAGTCAACATCACATGCTCATTCAGAATCTCATTCTCAGCTTCCACTGTTTGAACCAATTCTCTTTTAAAAAAATGTGTGAATTATTGTGTGCCAGTGTATTTATCTTGAAGAAGATGCTGCATTGTTGATTCTTTTGGAATATGACATGGCCTCTATAAAGAGGCTCCCAGCCAGTTCCAGGCTTATATACAGTGAGACCCCCAGATGCGGACGTAATTGGTGTATCAAGAGCGTCCCTAAGTCGAAATGTCCCTAAGTTGAATCTTGTTTTCCCATAGACTTGCATTATATAATTTTTAATTGGTGTTTTCTGGAAGAAGTCTTAATCAAAATTCCTTTTTAAAATTTAGGAAAAAATTCTACTGATGAAAATATTATTAAATCAGTGTTTTTTAACTCATGAATACAATTTATTTGAGCATTGGGGACAAACATTCGCAAAATGAACCATTTCTGTGCTACTGCCAAATGTTAAGATCCATCAATTCAGCAACTGTCCTCTTCTCTTCCTTTCTTCTCCAGCTTTTTATCTTTAAGGATTCTTTTTTGAGTTCCATAGTTGGCATATTCATGATCATTCCAGATGTTTTTGTCTTCTTAGAGGACATTTTCCACTTTTTTTTTATCTAGCCTTCTTGAAATGAACCTATAAAACTTTGCTTTTTGTCAAGCAAAAAGTTTAGAATAATGTTTTTTCAACAGTTTCTTGAGGAACATACAGGGGAAAAATATCCAAGCAAAAATGCTGTACCTCTTTACACTAATGAACAATTGAACATTGAGATGTTAGCATTTCCTATAAAAATAAAATTAGACAAAAAGAGATAAGGAAATCCCTTCTTTCTTGAGAATCTCAATGCTTGAGATAATTTTTAAAATTAGCTAAATAAAGAAAAGGGGAAAATGATGAAAGAATTTTAAAACAATTTTTTCACGTAGATCTTACCATCCTATGGTTCTGAATATCTGTTCCTATTAATTTGGCTCGAAAAATTCAATTTTCTGAAAATTTAAATGTCCGCAGGTTGAGTCCGTGTCCGCAGGTCAGGTCAATTTTAATTGAAAAGAAAGTGTCCTTAAGTTGAATTGTCCGCAGGTTGAGGCGTCCGCATGTGGGGGTCTCACTGTATTGTGGTGTTTTACTCAGACAATCTTGTTGTTTGTTGAAATCCCCAGCAGTAGTAGTGTCATGGCGACTTAATAACATTAATAAATTGAAATTACTTGACACCAGGCACCTATAAAAAATTCAAATCAAATAAAATTTTCGTTATTAAGTTTACAAAAAGCAAAAGGACGATTAGCAAGAATGCGATAGAATTAAGCATGAAAGTATGTTGCTCCATTGCAATTGCAGGATTTGGTAATATTCATAATGATGACCACTTTTGCATTCCCTTTTTTTATTCTCTTAAACATCGATTTAAAAAAAGCAACATTTGATGCATAACGGGTAGGTCTTTTTCTTTGGATATTCTGTACAATGTGAACTCAATTAAGTTTGTGAAAACTCACATTCCGGAATGAATTTTTCCGACTATTAGGTGAAAGCCTGATTTTTTTTTTTTTTACCAAAATACAAAGTCTCACAGGAGTGTTGATTTTGTGATACTCCTGAGACTTCTTCATTTCCGCGATTTTTTGCCTGTCCATGAAACTCTTAAGACAGGCAATATCATCTAAAACCAGAGACTTTCTTTCAAACAAAAAATAAAAAAAAATTCAAACTTGGATCCCAATAAAAAACAGCTTCTCAAATGTTTTTAGAATGCGGAATAAGCTTGATTTCTTGCTATGTGCGGCAAAAATAAAATCAGAAAAAGAAATTGCGCATTTCAACAGCACAACCAGATCAATGATATGCTGTGATTAACAAAATAAACTCTACTTGAATGTATTTTCACAGAGGTTATGCATAAATTTTGTGTTGAAACCTTCCACAAGTTTCTGGTAGTCACCTGATGTTAAAATATGCTGACTGGCTATAGAAGATGTGTAGAGTAAATAAATATGATAATTGCATGCAGTACTGGAAAATTCCAAGAATTAAAGGAGAAAAGTGGGGAATCCCAGATATTGATCGTTATTTTCAAGGTTTTCTTGGAACTGGGAAAATGTATTTTCTGAATTATGTACAAGATGCACTAAAGTTGTAATCCGGTTCTCAACACCCTCGAAAAATGAAAGTTCTCTTGGAGTGAATCAACTTTCAACAGTGATATCATGAGAAAATCTTTATCCATGTTCTCAAAAATGTTCTGAATTTCGTCCAAAACTGAACTTTTTCCCTGATATTTTACCGTCTTTCATGAAAATAAACACAAATTTTAACAGATCGGTTCTTTTTCGGGGTATCTGGGTCTCTTCAATGGGTTCAACCAGTTCTAACCACAATGAAAATGAGCTTTTGATCCCAAATTAATTATTCAACGCATCAAAGCGCCAGGAACTATTTCCCAGTTGCCCAGAGCCTTTCTTCAATTATTTAAAAGAATTCTGTCACGTTCTCGGAATTTATTTTCATGAAAGAAAATTCCCGGGTGGGAAGAAACGTGCCCCATTCAAAATAAACAAAAATTAACAAACTTGTTCAAAAGGTCTTCCAAAAAAAACATATTTCAGCAAAGTCAGACGGAACCTTTTTCAAATGGCATGCCCTTGAAAGTGAAAACTATTATTAATAAATTTCAAAATCTAAGGAAAGTCCAGGAATAAAAAGATTAAGTTTGAAGACACCAATAAAATGTGGAAAAAGTGTAATTTTTTTTAGATGTTTCCATTCTTTTCTACCAAAAAAAGCTCAGTGTCACATTTCATGGTGGATATTTAAATAAAAAAAAATTTGCCAACTGTTTTCTTTTAAAATTATTATGATCCTTTTTGACAAAATTGGAAACATCTTCTTCATTTTCTACTGCTTGCAAAAATTTACCAGTTGCTCCATTATATAAAAAAGAAAATTTGAAGAACAAACATTGTGGCAAACAATTTTACAATGATTATACTGTACTCTTTTTCTGCAGTATAAATACATTTGTTGATGCATCACCATAGCACCTCATTTTCTTCTATGCCCAGCATTCCACAGCTACAGAAAAGAGCTTCAAAATGAATTGGAACTCTTAAAATTCAATGAAAAAACTCTTTCCAAAATCTTAGCAGACCATAACAGATTGTTAACCTTACATGATTTCTCATCAAAGTTTCTCTCCAAATTGTTCAATCAACAAAACCATATTTGGGAGCAGGCTGAACTCTTTGCACTTTAACGTCCGCAGTGGGAGGAACGACCAGTAGGATCCTACAGGGGTCTGGGGGGAATAATAAGGACATCCTGCATGTGTGTTTGTGGCCTTTTGCACCTCAAATTAATTTTCCTACTTGAAAACTCATCAATTAACATTAAGTTGTCAGGATGGCTGAGTGGTCTAAGGTGCTGCGTTCAGGTCACAGTCTGGTTCTGCAGGCGTGGGTTCGAATCCCACTTTTGCAATCCTTTTTTCATTTTGTTTTTGTTTTTTTGTCCGCACTGCGGACGCTCTACTACTTGATTTGGGTTCAGTAATTGCCTTATGCCGCAATTCTCATTACTATAGATATTTTGTTTTTGTTAACAGGGAAGGGAATAAGGTGTATGTGCTGTTGGAAACAGTAATTTGAATTTGTAAAAAATTGATGATTTTTGAAGTTTGACTATTTTTCTTTGAGATTTGAAATGACTAAATTAGACACAATCAGCCGGGCTGTGGCTGGGGTGCTTAACACCCTAGTGTAAGGTTGATATATTTTGATTTTTGGTAGGATTGGAGTCAGACAGCAGTTCAAGGGGCAGTCTTTTGCAAAAGACAACACAGAAGCAACTGATGATTGCATGCGGAAACATTTCACTATTTAAACATTTTCTTTCAATTACATTTTTGTCCCTGAGCATTATCCTTCAGAAGGATTTCCCCAAGAATCCCAAATCTTGTGGGAACTCAAGGTTGAGTGCAATCCCACCGGTTTCTGGACCCTCTTGAAGCATTGCCGTTTTCCTGGCGCCAATGTAATCCTATCCTATTTTAAACTATTACTAATTTCTTTCCAACATGTGCTTCCATCAGTTGTGTAATTGTACATTTTGGGATGTATTTTCTTTTCTTTTAATATTCATATGCAGCTTATTTCTCTGTTTTCCATTCTGATGTGATGGAATTTGTTTGGATGAATGTGGGAATGTTGCTTGAACGTTGTGAACACTGAAAAGCAGAAAATGAAGCTTGCTGTTCAATTCAATTCAATTCAATGCTCCTTTTCAACAATATTGCGAATACCTTCTTCATTTTCAACTGCGCTCAAAAGTCGATCAGTCGACCTCAATGTATGAGAAAATACCCCCCCCCCCTTATCTTTCGTAATTCATATTCTTCAGTCACGAACTTCTGACATTTTTTTGCTGTTGTTATTATTGGTAACATAATGTTTGAATAATGGGGAAAAAATAACCCGACCTTTCGATGACCGTTTTCCTCGGCCGTGGCGACACAAAAGAATAAGAAAACCCGCATTGTCATGTTCATGAGGTCAACAAGAACCATCTTTGACGTGATTATGCTGGCGAATAAGGTCGCCGA